GGGGTGGGTGGGTGGGTGAGGGATGCATATGTATACAAGCGCATGTGTATATTGGGAGGGGAACATGAGAAAGAGTGCGTGTCTGCACATGTGTATGTACTGGCGCTGCATGTGTGTTTGCAGTGGGGAGTACGTTTCCATCTCCTGTAGTGCCTGCAGTCCCACCCTTGCCCCAGTCAGAGAGGGCCCTGAAGCAGCATCACTGTTCATGGGAGCTGGAGAAGGCAGATGACACTCACAGGCACATGCTGTTGGGCTGGAAGTGGCACTTCAAAAGGAATGTCTGTGCTCTGGAAATCAGAGTGGTCCAGAGAATCCAGGTTCCCTTCTTCAATGGCCTGAGAAAGGAGAAGTGGAGCACTAGGCAGTACCTCCTTGGAGTTGACAGTATAATGTACATTGTGAGGATGGCATTACTGATGCCTTCATTAATTAGTGCTGTGGTGACTGGGCCCTCCTGGGCGGTGGCATTTATGGCCATCTTTTGCAGTGTCAGGGGATGTGTGCCCCTTAAACACTCCAGTACTCAAACTGGTCAGGTGGTCTTGAAGGGAAACGTGAAATGGGGAGCTTTTTTATTTCCCTCAGCAGCTGCTGACAGCATTTAGAAGACTGGTACAGTAAGGTCTGTCAGCTTCCTAGGGTTTGATGTTTTCTGGTGACCTATTACCAATCAAGGAAAGAGTTGACTGGCGTGGGGGGGCTCCTGAGTCTTGTATCACAGTGGCTAAAAGCACTGGGCCATGCCCTCCACCCCTCAGGTAATTTTTCCTTCCCTTGGAACAACTCGGATGAGATCACCCTGAAAGCTGTAACAGCACTTGCATCCATGAACACTACAGGCCTAAACTGTTAGGCCAACTTGCTCTTTGCTGCATCCTGCATGCATGGTGGCATTGGCACACACATGGTGACACAGTCAGGGCTGCTCAGGCACCCTGCATGGCAAGTCCTTCTACAGCTAGTGTTAGGGTCCTCACTGCTGTGTGCACACACACTGAGCAGTGTTCAGGGTTCTCCATCAGCACCAGCTCACATGTGCTGCAACATTCAAACCTCAGGAATACCCTGCCCAGGCTGAGGGTCTGTTTTGGCCCAACAGCCCATTGTCATTTTAAGTATGATAGCCCTCCCTCCAGCAGACTATACGCACCTCT